TGCAAGGCCAGTGGCGGGAGGAGCAACCTGAGACCACTCTGAGCACCATTGTGGCGGGAACCTCTTGCGGGGTGCTCCTTTGAGCATGCCATGCTGTTCTGATTCTTCCGTGAAGAACGCAAAGAACATGTTCCTGTGAGGCACCTTGGCTGTTGAAGTCTGCGAAGATGTGCGCAGAATCAGGTTCGGAGATCAGCGACACATGATCACTGAAGAGGCAGCAAAGACAAAGCAATAGCTTTGAGGCATGCCCGATGAGTTGCCTCCTGGAGCATTGTCGCCAACTGAGCATGTCAACCTGTGTGCCTTGTACGGGCCAAGATTTTCTCTGGACTTTGAGGTCTCGATCGATAGAAAGTCTTTCTAGAACCATGAGACTTGAAGAAATCAGCGCAGGGCTCAGACTCCTGTGCTTCTCATTTGCTGAAAAACTCTTGGACAGATTTGGCAACTGCGGTCAGCAAGGAAATTCCCAGTCCCCGAAGTCGTTCGTACAGGGAGCTTGTACATGTACGGTGACGGATAATCCATTTTCCGGCACCAAGTAAAAGGCCTACTATCAGCGGAGTGGGCCTTAGCCCCCTTTGAGAAGGCAGATGCCAGCCAGAACCTCAGGGCAAATCCAAGCTGGGATTCTTGCACACTGGTCATGAGTGGTACTGAGCCCGGTACTGGCCTCAGGCAGGTGAGCTGTAGGGGTTGAGGCTGTAAACAGAGGTTTTCGAGGTGGAGAAATATTTTGAATTATGCAGGGGAGGCCTTCCATCTGGCTGGGAACAATCGAATTCTTACTCCGCTATTTGCAGTGCATTTACCATCCCTAGACTCTCCAGTCAGTACAGGAGTTTTTTCACCAACAGTCAGGGGATTCTGTTTGCAGCAGGAAGCCATGTCGACTGCCACTGCAGGCAGCGAAGCCATTACGTGGGTGTCATCGTCCTGTGCCAAAGGTGGTGTAGCAGAGGCCGGCAAGTGAGTAGCAGAGCACGGCAGAGCATGGCGGAGCATCATTACTTGAGCGTCCCAAGCTTCCCTCGCCTCTTCTACAAACGCATTTTCTGATATTGTTCTGTTTATGCGTAGGAGTTCTTCCGAAGGCTTTCCATTTGTTTGTGAGTTGTGATGCAATGCTGTGGAGGATTTGCAATCCAAGAGACCACAGAGTTTGACCATGGTTTTCCTCAACTGCTTTTGGGAGACTCTTTGGTGATACCGTGATACCCCTCAAAAGATGAGCGGACTTGTGTCGCTGATGTTCAATGACCGCAACTGAAGCCCTGTGCATCGCGTTGCCTTGAGGTGATTCTATCCGACGCTTGCTCTGGCTGGCTGGCATCTGGCTGTTCTCTGGGCTCACTGGGAGTTGAGCAACTTGGCAGTGTAAGGATGTCATGTCAACCAGCCACTGTGGATACTTGGGTATCATGGGTATCTCTTTTACAGAAGGGGTGGCCATGGGGCCTGGGTTTGTGTTTTCCATTAATTTTAGATAAATGCTACATAAATGCATTGGTGCCACAGTTGAGAAAAACCAAAAAAACGTTGAGAAAACCAAAAAAAC